GCCAGCAAAGGGCCGTGAAGATGATGAAGGATCTGGAGCATCTGTCCTATGAAGAAACCCTGAGAGAGCTGGGACTGCGCAGCCTGGAGAAGAGAAGGCTCAAGGGGGATTTCAGCAATGCGTATAAATACCTGAAGGGGGGAGGCAAAGAGGACGCAGCCAGGCTCTGTTTGGTGGTGCCCAGTGACTGGACTGGAGGCAGTGGGCCCAAATTGAAACACTGGAGGTTCCCTCTGACAGTCAGGAAATGCTTTTTACTGGGAGGGTGACTGAGCACTGGCACAGGCTGTCCAGGGAGGTAGTGGCGTCTCCGTCCTTGGAGATACTCCAAAGCCATGTGGATGTGGTCCTGGGCAGCTGGCTCTGGGTGGCCCTGCTTGAGCAGGGGAGTTGGACCCGATGACCTACAGAGGTCCCAGCCAACCTCAACCATTTTTTGATACTGTGATTCTCTTCATCATCCAAAGAAAATCTGGGAGTTTTGCAGGCAAAACAGCCTCAACTTTGGGAACTCTTGCTTAGTTTTTTGCTAGTTAACACAAACTAGCACCTGATGCTAGTTAACACAAACTGGACCTGATGACCTCAGGAGGTCCCTTCCAACTTCAACCCTTTTGTGTGATTTTGTCATGTGGTGTCACGTTTAAATGGAATTAAACAATGAAAACCACTTGAAATCATTGTCTGATACTGAAATTTAGGTTTCCAAAAAGGTCAGTTTTGCTAAAAACATTTCAAGTTCTGTGTCAGACTGATCTGGGAAAGCCTCGACCGGGGTTCCTGCAGTCTGGGGTTTCTGTTGGTTTGCGTGGCGCTGGGTGCAAGAGTTGATTGCTGAGATGGGACAACAAAGCAGTATGTTGAAGCTGGGTTTTTTTTGTATTTTTTTTTTAGCATAAAATTGCAAATTGAAGTTTAAAAGCTTCATTATGGTAGAGAAGGGCAACTGTAATAGTTTAAATTTTAAAATATTCATTCACTGACATCACATTTCACTTCTACACTCTCAAGGAGGGTGGAGGCATTTACTTCTTGGTATGACTGAAGAAATCCTGTGGAATTCTTCTCTGGTGTTTTCTAACTGTATTACTTTTGAATATAGTAAAGCTGTTTTTAATTAAAATAGGACTTTTTTTTCCCTTCTCTTCTCTTTGATGAATCACAAAGGAGAAGAGGTTAATGAAATCAAATCTGAATAGCAGACCCACAATTTCGAATAATTTTGTAAAAATAATCGTTGCAGACATCCATAGGATAATTTAATTTTTCATGGCTTGTCTACATAAAGCAAGTACTTATGGTGTGAGTGATGATCCTGCCCCTTTGGAGGGACGCTTGTTTTACAGAAGCATTTCAGGTAGAAACTGGTGACTGTAGAAAGCTCGGAACAGGTCCCGGCAATCTTGTGCTTTTGTCTTGATTCAAATGAATAACACGAAGTCATTCATATTCTCGGTTTAAGTGTAAATACAGATGAAGGTTTCAGTTCTGAGAGCTGATCTGTAGGGACATCTTCTTTCACCCGTGGCGCTCCTCTGCCTGCGGAGAATAGCATGGGGGATCGCAATTTGAAAGGTGAACTTCTTTACAAACGCCTGTCTACTTTGATGCCTTTTCTGAAGAGGGAGGGCACAGGAGGGGCCGGTTCCTGGGCCAAAGCTTTGTGGTCAAATAACCCCTTGATGACATTAAATGGCAGAAGAGGATGTTTGAAGTGGGGAAGACACAGGAAAAGAAGAACGTCTTCAGTTGCTCAGGGTTGGAATCATGTCAGATCTTACGGATTAATGGGCCCCCGAAGCTGCCCAGGATACCTGTTTAATAGGCAGAATGTGCAGGAAACACGGTCCCTACTGTTTTATCCAAAGACCAGATCTAACAAAACTTATATACCAGTGTGTTGCTACTAGATATTGAACCGTTCGCTTTGCTGTTGTTTGTAAGAGATGTAAATCAGTGTCCTGACTGTTTGAGGGTGTTCAAAATTGGTTTGCTCTTTTGAAAATGGAAGAG